AATTATTTAATAAACGATAAAGGAGGAAGAGAGAAGAAAAACCTCTAAGCTCATATTTATGTATATATAATATGTATATTATATGTAATATATATCATACATATTTAATATGATATATGTAATATATAATATATATATATATATATATAATGTGTGTATATATAATCATACCAAATGATCCGTGGGTCTTCATTTCCATTCTCAAACTTTTTTACAAGTGAAATGAAGACCCAAAAATCATTAGGCTATTCCCAGGGGGTGGCAGGACGTCTGAATGACAATAGGCCCAATGGGCTATTACCCTTATGGTAGGGATGGTAAATCATATCACATAGGCTGTCGTCTCTTCAGTTACAGTGACAGCAAGAATCACTCTATAATCTGGGCTCTGAGGTCCTTCTTGGGTTCAGTGAGCAAAACGGCATCACTGTCAACCTGCTGTGTTTTTTGTGGGCACCAGGAAAGAGAGAAGCAGCATAAATACCATGTATTTATCATCCCACAGATGGCATGTGCATGACTTCTAAAGACTTAATATGGATTGGGTGTTTATGTGGAAATGAGCTTTTTATATCTGGCTTGACAATGCCGTAAGTGTTAAGCCTCCCGAATTTACTTAGTCATAACCTTGAAAGACCATCTTTGAGTACCAGGAGAGCTTCAATAGCAAATAAAGACAATGGTTGCAAATCCATTCATTTGAAGTGTTTGTTTTCATCCTTAGGAAATCCTGCTGCCTGTTCTTCTCCCAAGTGTCCAGACAAACCAGATGTTTCTCCAGCTTTACTGTTACTTATTACTAAGCTGCTGCTTCTGGCGTAATTTCCTCTTGAACCATATACAGTTACCTTGTAGAGACGTCCCTTGACAGAGAGAACCAAGCGTGGTCACCTTCAGTTTTTCTATTAGATTTTTCTTTAGGGGCTTCCTTTAGGAGGTCATTGCTCATGATTTTTAGTGTTAAACTCTTACAGGACTTTGTAGCGCTAGAGTAAATTGAACATGTCATGTGCCCTGTGTATCATTTCAAGGCTTAAAAGCTGCAGCCATCAGCATGCCCAAGGAGTAGCAGATTGGTTAGAACGTTTTGGCAGCAGGCGGTTTGCTCAGAGTGGTTGAAAAGAAGTAAACATCTGAGGACCTGCTCCTTTGTTATCTGTCTGCCCTGGAAGGTGTTGATTAGCACAGATCTGGCCCACCCAACCTGACTGACCTCAAAAGAGGAGAAAACGTAGGTCTGGGTAGGAGGATCGATGCTTTGAGAGCAGGAAAACGGATGTCAGGGATAGCAGATGGCTTGTAGATTCACCGTGGCTTTTAAGAGGTTTATTTCTTCAGCCTTTAATTTCATTAACATTTTTATGAATATTTTCTTGAAGGCAATATTTTCACAAATTTCAAGGTCAACTAGAAAGGTATTTTGTTTTTCTATGAACTGAAGACAGCATTATCAATGTATTTAAGTGATACTGAGGACTCTACGTGTGGGACTGTTTTTCTCCTGTAACTACTTGCTGCATTTTCTCATTGCTCCTTCACTTAGAATTCCATTTCTATGATAGGGATGTCTACATGAGCATATGGCAGGTATTTGTGTGGCAAAGGAAGAGATTTGTGTGCACACACTTGCACATCATAACATAATTAGAGGACATGTTATTTTATACTCTAAGCCAGAAAGTTAAACTCTTAGTAAACCGTCAAACTCACTGTTACTGTTTATTGTTTATTGTAATGGACATCTTGCAAATTAATTCTGAGTATCTACCATGTACCAGTTTCTGGATTAAGTAAGCCTTGACGAGCATGATGAGCATGATAGACACGATTTCTCCGTTAATGAGGTCTTTTGTCTAAGAGTTAATGTTAAAAAGGACATTTTCACGTAGTTACTAATATTCAGAGAATTTGGACAAGATACAGCCTCGATCATTTGAAATAGTTTGCCCATATGCCATCATGTGTTTCCAAGCAATATCAGGGCATTTTTAGTGGGGAATTTGCATCTAGTCAAGTTTACAAAGTAAAACTAAAATGTACTATCAGCAAAACATAATTTAACAAGGTAGTTTTAAGAAGGTATAGAGCAAATGGTAGTGCAAGTTATTTCATATTTTTTTCTCTGAAAAATCTTAAAGTAAAACTTAGTTACCATAAATGAAACTTATCTATCATGATTAATTACTTTTTTGAAATAAACGAATATTGCCTTTTATAACCTGTCAGTTGATTATTTTATTTGCTGCATTAGATTTAACCTACAACTTTTGGTCTCGTGTAAGTTCTGTGAATGCAAAATCGGAGAGCCTGCTTAATGTCAAATAGCTGTAGCGTTTCACCCATTACAGTACGCATAGTGATAGGAGTTTGCCTCTAAGCAATAATGTATGGTAATTTACAGGCTCCCATGCAGAAGGGTTCACCCTTAACTCTTAGCTACTTATCAATCTGATGGACAGTGTAGCTTTTGGAAACCAGGCCTAAAATTTCATGAATTTTACTCTGGTATAGGCATGTATATATGAGGGTTTTATAAAGAAATCAAGAGCGGTTGATTTTCAGGGAGCTTTTTGAAGAACTCTATTTCAACACTGTCCTCTTTCCATGACATCTCTTTTCTGTTCTGTTCTGTTCTTTTCTTGAGATGGCATTGCTGTCGCCAAGGCTGGAGTGCAGCGGTGCGATCTTGGCTCACCGCAGCCTCTGCCTCCCAGGTTCAAGAGATTCTTGTGCCTCCCGAGTAGCTGGGAACACAGCCATGAGCAGCTAATTTCTGTATTTTTTAGGTAGAGATGGAGTTTCACTATACTGGCCAGGCTGATCTCGAACTCCTGACCTCAAGTGTTTTACCTGCCTCGGCCTCCCACGTGCTGGGATTACAAGCATGAGCCACTGTACCCAGACAATCTCTTTACTTCTAAATCAAAATATCTTGTTTAACTCAAAAATTAAATGAGGTGTGTTATGCTGCTCAAAGCTGACAAAACAACATGAAACTTAGAGTGAGTGACATCTGTGGATTTTTCTTTCCAACTTTTAGAAACTGTAGAAATAGATTAAATACAAAGTCTGCTGGCAAATGTCTTATTTTAGTCTTAGGTATATTTGATAAAATGTTTGGAAGCTAAGGGATCTCTGAAAATTGGGAACTTCGAGATTTGAGCCACAGTGGCCAGAGGATAATGGAAGAAGGGCTTCTTTTCCCAGTAAGTGCTTTATGGGAATAACGAGGGAAGGTGGATGCCTGGCTTGGAACTTCCTGATTAAAAAGAAATTGTAAATATGAAAAATAAGTAAAAAGTGAATCAATGTCATCTTTTGAAAGAAAATACAGAATATAAGAGTCCCATGTCACTAGGTGGAAGGGAGAGTTAGGAGTTGGGATAACAAAGACAGTTACGACATTTTTCAAAAGCGACAATAGAAGTAAAAAGCCGCTTACTCGTAGTTTCTTACCTAGCATGAGAGGATTAAATACAAGTTGGCAAAGTTTTTCTTATTTTGTAGGAGATAGAGCTGACCTTGCTAGATCTATGACTGAAATTGGCTGAAAGCAAGCCTACGATCAGAAATTCCTGGCACTTTGGATTAATCTTTTAAAAAAATTAGTCATTCTTATCTGACCTTTTAAAATTACAGCAAGACTAAAGAAAACTTGACATTACAATATAATAGATGCATTCTCAGAATGTCTGCATATTTTTAACTCAAAATATTCTTGCTATTTTTGAGGATTTTGTGAAGCAGTAGATTCACCTTCACACATTACAATGTATTTTCTGCCTCTTTAGTATGTTGTGCAATATATCAGGTTATCACACGGTCTAATATTATCTTTCTTATAGCCGCAACCACCGATGTTTCAAAATCATTAAACTGTCATTGAATTGCAAGAAACCCCAATGACTAAGTCTTCCTGTAAGCTCCCTTCTTTATTTCTCTGCTGCCATTTTGAATGGGCAAGAAAAGCAGTGTCTACCTCATAACAATCCAGGCGTTCTCTGTATCCCTCATGACCACAGTGACAGCGCTTTGTGCGTAAAAGAGAACACTTCGTGATGCTGTATTTGCTTGCAGGTTCAACTCTTACATGAACATGAAAATTATCCCCGTATTAAAATAATTCAATCTTTATGTTAAGTTCATTCTACTTTCCTTTATATAGAGTAGAAAATTTGTCTTTAAACCCACCCAAACTCAACAAAGGCTCATGGCTCCGTGGAGAAACACAGAAAGCTGCCTCTAGGTAATATGTCAGGAGAGGATGGTGTCAAAAGAGAACCCTGGTCTCAGCCCTGCTGTTCCGGGTCCTGCTGAAGGAGAGGAAAATACGCTGGACGGGACCATTTCAGTGTGTGACCACTGGCAGATGTCTTCATGCTGCAAACCTCAACTTTATTATCTAGAAAATGATGATAACCTCCCATTATCTATAAAATGGGGCCACTTCCTACCTCACCTATTTCTCAGGGATGTTAAGAGGGTTAAATAAGTTGGTGTATGAGAAAGTCTCTGCAAACTATGAAGTGCTGTCCAAACATAAGATCTCATAGCAGTAACTTTTACTAAGCAGAAAGACTAAGCAATAGACTGAGCAAGTCGCTTCAATGGGACTGCTGTTTCCTTCTTTAGAATTCTTTCCCCATACTGCCATCTGACTTTATTTATGTTTGTACTCTTTGAAGCTCTTTGATTTACAGCTAGCACTCCATGATTATAAATATATAGCGCTATGTTCTCATCACCCTGGAGGCAGCGTCAGGGCTCACTATATAAAATCCTGCAGTTCAGAGCAAAAAGGACCAAAGGCAAGTTTCGGCGATTGCTTACACGTCAGTGACAAGGCCGGCAGCCTGGAGCCAAAATGCGCCAGCACCTACACAAAACTGTCCTTCAGCCAGCTTACAACGTCATGTAATCTTTAACCAAAATTAACCAAAATTAACATCTCTCTTGTTTTGCCTTCCTTTTTTTTTTTTTTTTTTTTTTTAAAAACAAAGCAACTTATGACGTTTTCTCAAGCCCTATGACATCAGAAGAGCCTGAGATTTCAGAGTCCTATACAGGTAAACCCGGCCTCTCAATTCTGTCTTTGGATCCCAGGTGTCCCAACAACACTTGGTGGTTTTTCCTTTAGTTTTTTGCAGAGTGAAAAAGTGTGCTCTCTGGAGCTCTGCATGGGTAAAATTTTCACCTGTGTCAGGGAGATGTGTTTTACCCACTCCTCCCGTAGACTGATTAGTTCTTTACATCTCTCGGTAAATAAGCTCTGTCACACAAGGGAGATGCAGATAGATTTGGCTGCCACTGAGCAGAAGTAATGCAACAGCTTAACACGCTATTGTTCAGAATCATCATAAAAAGGTCTTAGAGTTTCTAGATGGTTTTGTCTAGAGCAGTAGTTCTTAAATGGGGGTAATTTTTACTCGCATCCCTTCTGCAGGACATTTGCTAATGTTGAGACATTTTTGGTTGTCACAACTTGGGGAAGGACTACTAGCTTCTAGTGGGTAGCGACACAGAGCAGCCTCCCACAGCACAGGATTCGACCCTAATTGTCAATAGTGCTAAGAACAGTCACATAATTCATTTGACCATAGCAGCTCACTGGGTCTACTCTTTGGCATTCAATTACTGACCCAACTGTAGTAAGTTACCTCCGTCCACCAGTTCCTTTTAGCAAATGTTTATCAAACACCTGCTAAACTGGGTACTGTAGGAGCTTCAAAGGGAGTAAGACTGGTTTCTGCCAGGTATAGATACATGTCTGATATTTTTTATATATGTAAGATTATTTGTGTCATGATAAATAAAAGTGTATAATTTTAAAGAGCAGAAAATAATGAAATAGAACGTCAGTAGTGGGTTCAGTTAGCAATTATGAAACAGAAAGGAAGAAACCAGAAAAGCCCATTGAAAACCAGTTGAATGTATGAAACACTGTTTGATCATACTTGATAATGTTTCAAGTATGTATGTTTTTTAAAGTGAGCTCACCTTCAACTCCTAATGTATCACTAGTTTAGAAATGTGGGTCAGCAATCCCTCAGGTATTGATATTTTTCCTCCTATGAGGCGTTATTTATTACTCCTGAATTTATATTTTATTCCTGGGGCCTTCTGCTTTTATAAATGTTGACATTTATTCCAACAGCAACAAGTGACCGTATTCTGGATTCTGTCCCACCTAAAACTTCTAGAACTCTTGAACAGCCAAGGGCGACACTGGGTAATGTTTTTAACAGAAAAATCATACTTTATTTTCCATCAAAAACAAAATTCATGTGAATGCCTTTCTTCTAAATGACCATTTCATTCCATCACATCTAATATATGTGTCTACATATTTTCAATACAGTCATCTTTCATGTTCCATTTGGGGGCTCTGTTTTATTATTTTGAACTGTAATAGATAATATTTTCCCTATCCTTTTAGTTATGAAAGCTTTGAAAACTGCATGGGCATTGTCACCTACACCCTCTCCTCTCACACGTGCGTGGCCTCTGTCACTTTACCTCCGTGCTTCAAGTCTGCCTGAAGTCAGCTACTGAACAATCATCATTCCAGCCTCTTTCCTACTTTAAATCAGAATTTTATTCACTAGCTTTCAAGACCACATGCATTTTTTCATCTTTAATCATGTACCTGTGGCATGTGCTTTATACCATCAAAACGCTTGTTAAAATTCTTAAAATACCTCATTTTAACTGGGATTATTCGATGGGGTGGGGTGTTTGTGCTTTCAGCTCCAAGTGAAACACCGTTTGTTCCTCAAAATCTGGAAATCTTTACCAGTCCTGAAATGCAGCCTACGACACCTGGTAACTAATGACATTTGTGTAGTTATATGCATTGAAGAAACAGGTAATGTGATAAAAAAGTCATGTGGGCCATTTCAGAATTTTGGGTTTTGTTGTTGTTGTTTGTTTGTTTTTGCTAAATATTTCCCTTCAGCCTCTACCACAAAATTATTCAAAGAACTGAGTTATATGTCATGCTTAGCCTTATGATCATCCTCAGAGAATTTTCACAATCCTGAAGTCTATATATTTTGAGAAATTGTTTCCTTCCAACTCTTCTTTCAACTTTGCCAGCTGGAATATAGCAGCAGAATTATAATTATTTCAAAATATCTTCCCTTCTACTTAGCTCATTTAGACACCATTTGATCAAAGCATTTTACCCAAAGTAGTCTGAGTATAGAGAGCACCAAGTAGGCTTTGCAGTCCTGGACTTGTTGAGGAAAGATGGATAAAGAGAGGTAACGCAACCTACATATGCTAACAAAATTATTGCAATAGCAAAGTTCATTAACTGTTGGTGGGGATAGTAAAGAGCTACACAATTAAGGTTCTGGGCCAGGTGTGGTGGCTCACGCCTGAAATCCCAGCATTTTGGGATTTCAAGACCAGCATGGCCGACATGGTAAAACTCTGTCTTACTAGTAAAAATACGGAAATTATCCAGGTGTGGTAGTGAACGCCTGTAGTCCCAGCTGCTCAGGAGGCTGAGGCACAAGAATTGCTTGAACTTGGGAAGCCACCTTTTTAGTGAGCCAAGATCGCGCCATGCACTCCAGCCTGGGCAACAGAATGAGGCTCCATTTAAAAAAAAAAAAAAAAAAAAAGTAGTTCCAAATTTCCATTATTTGTGCTTGTCTCCTGCTGTTCAATATCATCCTTCTGAGTTTTTAATTGTACCTTGTGTTCTAAAATGCCTCAAGGGTGCTTACTTCTGATACCTAATTGAACAACGTATATCTTCAATTCTCACATGGAAATGTAATACCTTTTGTCTCAGTCGCCCCTTGTTTGTTGAGCACCTATTATATATAACACAAGGTACTGGGCATTTAGGGATATAAGGAAATATAAAGCAGTTCTTGTACTTGAAGTTTGCAAGTTTACAGGCACAACCTGACTGACCCCTGAGAAATATCATTTATCAAAGATATATTAAATCTTCTTTCAGCTCCCCAGCAAACTACATCTATTCCTTCTACACCAAAACGGCGCCCCAGGCCCAAACCGCCAAGAACCAAACCTGGTAAATGTCTCTTTATCCTTGTGTGATATGTAATTGCAGATGGA